TGCAAGTTCTGGATATGAGTAACAGAGTCCTTGGAATGGAACATCCAGACAAAATCAGAGCCATGGCAAACCTAGCATCAACATATCAATACATGGGAAAATACACAGAGGCAGAGAAGCTGGAGATTCAAGTTGTGGAAGCAAGTACCAGAATTCTTGGAGTGGAACACCCAAATACAATTGGAGCCATGGGAAATTTAGGAGCAACATTTAGAAGTTTGGGAAAGTACACAGAGGCAGAGAAGCTAGAGATTCAAGTTTTGGATGCAAAGAACAGAGTTCTTGGTGTGGAACACCCAAACACAATCAGAGCCATGGCAAATCTAGCAGGAACATATTGTTGTCTGGAAAAATATGCAGAGGCAGAGAAGCTGGAAATGCAAGTTCTGGATGCAAGCAACAGAATCCTTGGAGTGACACATCCAGACACAATCAGAGCCATGGCAAATCTATCAGCAACATATCAAAACACAGGAAAATTCACAGAAGCAGAGAAGCTGAAGATTGATGTTCTGGATGCAAGGAAAAGAATTCTTGGAGTGCAACACCCAGACACAATCATGGCCATGGCAAATTTAGCAGCAAATTATCATGACATGGAAAAATATACAGAAGCAGAGAAGCTGAAGATTGAAATTCTGGATGCAATGAAAAGAAGTCTTGGAGTGGAACACCCAGAGACTGTCACAGCTATAGAAAATTTAGCAATGACATATAAATGTTTGGGAAAATACACAGAGACAGAGAGACTGGAGATCCAAGTTCTGGATGCAAGCAACAGAATTCTTGGAGTGAACATCCAGACACAATCAGAGCCATGGCAAATCTATCAGCAACATATCAAAACACAGGAAAATACACAGAAGCAGAGAAGCTGAAGATTGATGTGCTGGATGCAAGAAAAAAAATCTTGGAGTGCAACACCCAGACACAATCCATGCCATGGTAAGTCTAGCAGTGACATATTATGAACTGGGAAAGTACATAGAGTCAGAGAAGCTGGATATTCAAGTCCTGGATGCAAATAAGAGAATTCTTGGAATGGAACACCCAAACACCATCACAGCTATGGCAAATCTAGCAGTAACATATGGATGCCTGGGAAAATACATGAAGACAGAGAAACTGGAGTTCCAAGTTTTTGATGCAAGGTCCAGAATTCTTGGAGTGGAACATCCAGATACAATCAATGCCATGGAAAATCTTGCATTAACATATCGATGTCTGGAAAAATACACAGAGGCAGAGAAACTGGAGAAACAAGTTCTGGATGCAAGAAATAGAATTTTTTGACTGGAACACCCCCTGTTATGGTACTCCTCATTGGCACTCTATTCCCTCTTCTCCATTTACCTCTTACATCTCATTGCACTCTATTCATCACTACAACATCTTTCATTTCCTTCTTTATCCTCTGTTACTTGATTCTATTAACTTGTACCCACTGTTACTGCTCAACCAGTATCTAGTATATACCTAAGCACTGTGTTATGTATTGTCTGATGCATACTTATTAAAGTTAATGTGAGACATAGTTGACAGCATTTGGCTAAGTGTTATTTAGCAAACACAGTGCAACCAAATACTATCAGATCCAAATACATCAGTATAAGAACTCCTAAAGCAGTGATAGTTGTAGAACATTATGGAAGGTTCTCAGCTCTTCTGGATAACATAGTCATGTATTTAAGTAGAGCCATTAGTTAGGGAGGGTCCATTCTTACCTTTTACCTGAACATATCATGTGATCTTAGCTCTTGAATAAAGATTAGTAAACAAGCACCTTCATCAGTATCCAATAATGCTATAAGCTATTGTCTACTTACAATCTGACACATTAATGTCTAGTACTAATGTATCCAATAGGAAAGTGCTATGCTGGTCTAATGTTGAGACATGCCAGGACTTATGTACTCTAGGGTAAAACTCTATTTACCTAACTTGACCCTTCGACACTTACACAAACAAGTACATTGGAATTGATACTTTCAAGATAAACACTTGTGCTTATCAAGTACCTTACTTGTGATTATCTTTGGTAAGTCTTCAATCATTCTAAGCTAGTGACTATTCATATTCATAGGAATATGCCAACATTAGAGTCAATGAACTCTAACACCCCCACACCATCATAGACATGACAACTCCTGCCCTAACATTCAGAAGACCTTGACACATGGCAGTGAGTGATGTGCACCTAGTGAACTGACAAGATGCTGGAAGAACCCAAATGCCTAAACAACCCACATATATTTCAAACTAACACACTACAACTGACTTTCTGCATGAGGCACTCTGTGGCAATGTTGGTGTTGGCATTGTCATTGTTGATGTTGTGTGGTGGCATTGTTTACATGTGGTGTGCATGGATGAGTGGTGGGTGGTGGGCTCTGAACGAGATGGTGGTGGGGGGAAGAAAGACAGTTGGCATGTATAAACAACCAAAGAAACCAGCATGTGTAGCATCCAGAACATGCTGGGTGTGGCGGCCATATAGAGCACTGGTTTGCTCTATATATCTAAGGCCTTGTGGTGCAATGGATAATTGTGCAGTGACCTGGACCCTTACACTGCAGGAGCTTGAGGGTTCAATTCTTGCTTGTGCACTTTCATTTTTTATTCTTAATAAATAAGCTAATAGCGCCTAGGCTATGCATGATGCAGAGGTGATAAGTGACTGATGAGGAAAGAATAGCTGAAGTCAGGAAGATCAGGCGCAGCGCATGCCTGATTCCAATATATTTCCACTCAAGGTATGGCTATATTCCTATATAAGAAAGAAAAAAAAGAAAAAGATGATAAGGTCATGTAATGATTGATGTGAGGAGCAAGGGAAAATGTAGGAGAAAGTACATGCATGTGTGATATGGGTAGGGAGAGATGTTGTTGATGTCGTGGGGGATTGTGGTGATGAAGGAAAGCCTGTAGATATAAGAGAAAGTCTGTGAGTAAAGAAAAGTCTGTAAAAGTAAAGGAAAAAAGAGATGGAAGTTATGAATCCCAGGTGTGGATGTATGAGGATGCAGAGTGTGTGATTTGGCCAAAGAGTACAGGGCATTCAGTAGCTGTGCTATGGAACCATAAAAGTACAACATGGACAATTGCCCTATGGGTCATACTCGTGGTCACAAAAAGTAATGGGGCACGTGAGTTGGCGTGTCACAAAGTTGATGGTGGTTGAAAATATTTGAGTCTATATACCCACCCCATCTTCATTTTTATCCACTACATGAAGGAGAATAAGACTTCTCGCACTCAATATGACACTCCTACCAAAAACCAATTCATCGGTGCTGTTGAAGCTGGGAAATCTGTTCATGAAGCAGGCAGTATGTTTGGAATCAAAAAGTCCTCAGCAGACCGCATCTGGAAGAGATATGAAACCAGTGGAAACTCGCAGAACTTGTGATGCTCAGGTCGTCCAAAGGAGGTTTCCAATTGAACCAAACGGCTCATGGTCTGAACTGCAGTAACCAACTGTAGAAAGCCCTTCTGCAAGATAGCAAACACGACGTCGCCCAAAATCAGTGAGAGTACAGGCCGAAACATCTTAGCTGAGGAAGGATACCACAGACGAGTTGCGCAAAAGGTCCCATACCTTACAAAGAGGCACAAGGTTGATCATGTGCAGTGGGCGCGAATGTACAAGGGGTTTACAGAGATTGACTGGGCGAAAGTCATTTGGTCTGATGAGTGCTATGTTTATATTGGAGACAACCACAGCAAAATCTACGTAACACGATGCACCGACGAGGTACTGAATGAAGATTGCCTTGTCCCAACATTCAAGCAGTCCTCTGTGCATGTTATGGTCTGGGCCTGTATCATGAAGGGGAGAAAGGGGCCATTGATTGTTTTGGAATATCCAGGAGGGAAGGGAGGAGGGATGAACTCAGCACGATACAAAGACCAGGTACTTGAGGGTGTTTTGGCTTCTTTCCATGCTGAGGTCACTGGAGAGATGGGCAAGGTCTATTTTCAACAGGATGGAGCAGCAAGTCACCGCAGTAAATCAACGCAGAACTGGTTTTCGACTGCAGGCATTCTGTTGCTATATCACCCACCATCATCCCCTGATTTAAATCCTATTGAGCCAGTTTGGCATGAACTAAAAAAGGTCCTACATGCTCTACCACACCCCCCTACATCTGTAGACAAGCTTTGCCATGCAGTCAGGGATACATGGGACTCACTGCCAATTTCCGGTATAGACAAACACATAGATACTATGCAGGAGTGTGTGCAGGACATTTTAGCAGCTAAAGGAGGCCATACCCGATTCTAATTTGGTAGATAATATCTCTCATATTCCCTTAATGTGAACATATAGTTTTTTCCTGGATATCCTACCAGCTTAATGCATAAATGTAGAATTGTTGTCTAAGTCGAGCAAGGTGCATGAGTGTGTCCGAGCACATGCCCCGTTACTTTTTGTGACCACGAGTAGTATGCATCCAAGCATGGATCACGTGAGTTTTGAGAAAAGCAAGCAGCAGCTCTGAGTCGTGTGTCTGCTGACACACGACTGTTGTTGTGTGTGTGCAACTAGCCTTTGGTCGGCTTATATTGGACTTGAGTAAACACTCTGTTTAAACTTGATAAATTGAAGGGAATGATTCCACATGGATTCCACATGGACTCTCACTGGGTGAACTCATCTAACCCTGTGTTCTGAGGTGGAGTCCATTTGCAGATGGATTCTAGACAAAAATTTGGCTGGGTCACCACCAAAAAAAAATTGTCTCGACTCCACATGGAATCTGTGGGGGAGGGTAAAGTCCAAGTAAAGTCCTCCTTTTTTCCTCTTTTTAAGTATCTCATAGCAGCTACAAACATGGCCACAGTGTAATACTAATCAGCAAGACTGCATCTCTCTAGAAATGCTAGAATTTACTAATTCTAGCAT